ATTACTATAACAGTATCTTTACCTTACAGTATAAATTGCTTTGAAGTGATTGTTACTGTGATTTTATGCTATAAAAATAAAAATGAAATGAATTACAAACCCATTGCATTGCACATGGATAACAGCTGTTATCCCTGGCATTACCTTGGGAACAGATAAAATGATTGAGAAATTTGAGAAAATTGAGAAAAAAAAGTTAGATATGATAGACGAAAGGAGGAACACATGACGAGAAATTTAAGCTAAACACAAAAAGAATGACTGACCACCAGAAATAAAAATACTACCTCACTCTCTACAGACAAGGAGTCCTTCTTAAGAAGCTTGTCAAGGAGGTGAAAGGGAATATCCTTGAACTTTTCCCCATAAGAGACGCACTGGAAGTGGGCTGCAATATACTCCTCGGCTGCCTGCCCTAGCTGGACCAGCCCGTAGGTCTCAGCCAGGACCAGCACATCTAGACATGTGCTTTCATCCATTCTGTCCTGCAGGAACTCAATGCACAGCGACAGCGCCCCCTCCAGCTGGAACTGAAGCATGGCATCTGTAAGCTCCCAAATCCGACTCCAGTTCAGTCTGAGCTGACCGGTGTAGATGAAATAGAGCATGGATTCAATCACCCAAGACGACACACCTCGCAGGCACACCACTTCCTGGCAAGACTCCCGTAACCCTCCGCACAGCAATGCCCGGAAATAGTCCCCAGCTGCTGCTAACACCACACGATGTGCTGAGAAAAGTCAGGAGATGATAAAAAGTCACAGAGAAAGATGCGGATAAAGTAGAAAAAGACACAAGGTAAGAAAACGTTTCTAACTCCACCTAGTGTTAGCATACTGGAAATGCATTTCCAGTTTACTTTCTCCTTCAAAACAACAGCGGGTGATCATTTTGTGTTTATGTCATGCTTTTTTTTTGTCTTTAATTTTTCTTTTTACAGCAGCACATGTCTGGTCAGCATGTGTCACCAAGAAATTACACATTTTTAACATTTAAAAAAAATTCCTATATTAGTAAATGACATGATTTTGTGTATATATTTACTTTGTGTTGACATTATTGACATTCCATTTCTCTTACCTGCATAAACAACAGCTGACTGTCACACTATGAACTATTCTGGGAAAAGGATTCTAGGAAATCTACAAGTTTGTGGAGGAGCGTGTAGTACAGTCACCCTTTCTGTGAATGTGATTATCATGAGTAAAATAGTTGCACACCAGCTACAGTTGTGGTCAGAATTTTACACACATTCATCATGTACATAAATGTCATAGCAATTTAGGACTTTTATATGATTTATTTGAACTGTTCTTTTTCCAGGGTGGAACAATTGTGCAGCATGCGTCTTTAGTGACTCAAGGAAAAAAGAACTTGATGCACAAGTTAGAATTTATTTTAGATTTATTTTGGATATAATACAACAGTACAATATACTGTGTTGTATACTGTTCAGATATACATTTCAGAGTGTACAGATAATGCCACTGCTTTCAGAACAACTACACTGACTGACTACTACAGTTAATAGATTTTACATACAAAACATACATTCATCTTCATACACAATATACTTTTTGTACACATACAACACCCCATGTTATATGCTATAAAACAGTACGTTTGAGTAATGCTTTAAATGGAGTCTTGTAACCTAAAGCCCTGAGCTCAACCCTACTGAAAATAATTAAAGCCAGGTATCAAACCAACTAATTTGATTGAAGTCTACCACTTCTGTTGAGAAGAGTAGTCAAATATCCCAAAAGAATTAAGCCAGAAACATAAAAGAAAATCCAAAATCATTTAATTTAATTCATGACAGACATATGATATACAATGATTCCACTCTGGGAAAAGATCAGTTGAAAGAAATCATTAAAAACTCCCAAATTATCATGACATGCAAACCCATAATGAGTTCATGGAAACGTTTGACCACAATTGTATGAAATGTGACCAGATCTAAGAACAGTATTTGTTTCTCTTTTAGTGATCACAATAAAAATGAAATAAATGCTTTGGGAATTTTCTTGTAACTATTTATTTAAAACAATCTAAATCTTTTCAAAGCACTATAATTGAAAACTGTTTAAAAGAAAAACTTTAATGCCAGTATGAACGTATGGAACTTAAATTGAAAAGTAACATACTCTAGTTTCTGGGGATTTTCCTTTTCAGCATGTGACTAAAAGCAGTCCCAGCTCTAATTCTAATTCTAGATGTGTCATTGTTGGGTGTTAAGAGATTAAACCTTGTTCGGGTCATATTACCCTACATCATAATCTCAAAGGCTACACTGGTCAGCTAGTGGACATTCCTCATAGATTACTTTTCATTTGTTACCACTGTAAAGTCATGTAAAGTCATATATGATCCCATATATGAGTGTTTGGGCCTCACCTGAATATTTCTCTCCAGTCTCTGCTTGTATTGTGACATCACATCCTTCTCCTCTCTTCCACATGTCTCTGATGATAGCCAAGCTCTTCTCTCTCTCTTTTGCAGCAGAAGTTTTGATCTTTGATATGCAACTTTCTTTCAGCCTCTCCATCTGGAGACATTGAGAAGCATTTAAAACCTCCTCAATTACCCGCTCTTTACTCAAGTCCATGGCCACATGTCCACAATATGCAAACTCCATGATAGCCCTTAACCCAACTGGTGTCAAACATTGTGCATTTTCTCCCACTCCAAGCCCTGGCATTTCTTTTGAACCTAAAAATGCATTTGGGGTTTGACTGATAGCTGCTAGAACAAGCCGGTGAGCTTGGAAGGATTTTCCTTGAACGATAAAGGTGCAGTCCAGGAGTAATTCTTCCTTGCAAAGGTTGTGTAAGTGAGTGAAGAGTCTGTCTGAGTGTGAAGAGAAGTTGTAAGAGATAAGATCAGAATTCTCTGAGAGACATGAAGAAAGGCCGTGAGGAGTTTCTTGAGCTTTAGAGTCGGGTATATGCTTTGGTGTTTGAAGAATAGTTTTTGAGCTTTCTTTTATGCCACTATTGTCCACATGTGTTGCACTTTCTCTTCCGCTTGCTCCACTTCCTCTCATAATGTCTTGCTGTGTGCACTGTCACCTTATAGACTTGCTTGTGTCAGAGCAGACCGCCAGATGTTTACATTCAACGTGCACTGTACAAAGAGAGAAAAGGCAGAACAGCGAGAGTCAGGATAAGTCAGTAATAAAGACACTAGAAAAGTGTGACTACTCTATTCCTGGAAATGCCACTGTACTTATTCACTTTAACATTAGACATGAATCAATTGTCCTCATGACCTCTGAAGTGTCTTTTACGCAAAGAAAACACAACCTAGCCTAAAAAAAAGTGTCAATATTGTCATCATGACAAACCTTTAAGTTCAGGAGGCCACTTATTAGCAATGCTGTAATACACGAATGTGTCAAGACACAAACATCTGTCTGTTGCACCTTTTCACAGAGTTCAACATGTAACAACTTACAGTTCATTTTGACAGTAAACGTCCTCGTAAGAACAATTTTCCACGAGATTAGAAATACCAGCAGCATACGACTTATTGTAATTTTGTACTAAGACGAGTCTTGCTTGATTACAATTGGTTAATATCTTATTTTAGATTAAGACTCTGCATAGGCACCTACCTTGCTTTTCCTTTAGCAGTGTGGGTGGAACAAGTGACTTTGACCAGTGGCATTGTGAGCATGTGGGGCGCACAAGGCACTAGAGCAGGTTTAATTATAGCATGGCACTGACACTATAAAGACTACACTACAAGAAGTTTCCAGTACGCTCAGGAACTGCCTGCTTAAAAAAGTTCAACATGAAGTGAAGTATTTTGAAGTATTACATGAAGGGACTGAAGGTGAAAACGAAGACTGAGAAGACAGTATTGCCCAAATACCTTAAATAACAACAATAACACAGCCATTACTGCTGTGTCTAAAGTCTGACAAAGCATTAATGAGTATAAATAAAACACTCTCTCACTATGTCCAGCGTACGTTTTTTAAATTGTGTTCAAAGTAACATCAGGAAAATCTATTAACCCAAAAAACAATAATATTTGTTTCATTATGTGTTTAATTCATTTTTTAACATCCATGTTGAAAAGTTGTTACACAACAGAACGAGAGAGAAGAAGAGTTCCTGAAAACGTTTTTAGTGCAGTCATTGTGAAAGTTCCTTCCTGTGCATTATTGACACTGATAGCTGATGGAAAGCATGTAGGCTGAGTCACAGATCAGCTGTGTTACTCATCTTGAAACGTATTAACTTTGTTATGTTAGTTCTACAGTTATTATTTTAAATAACAGTTATTTATAACTTTTTTGCAAACAAAATTAAAATCAGGTTTTCAGCTCTTTGTTTTTGGAGATAAAGATTTTTATTGGAAATAAAAAAAATGTATTTCCTGTAGAAAATATCATTGGTAGGGTACTTTGTTACCTAATGTTTTTGCTTTTTTAAAATTCTCTCTTTTTTTCTCTACTTCTGATCAGATAAAAGCCAGAAGATCATTCAAAAAGTATTCTATGACACATATTTCCATTTTAAAAATATTTTCATCTTTAGTTGCTTCAGCAGAACTCAATTACTCTCCTGTTACTCCACACTCTGCTTCTGCCTGAAACTCAGGTTTCTTATGCTGTATAGCCAAGTGTTTTCTAAGAGCACAGGTACTAGAACCTGATATTGAAAATGGATAACAGTAGAGGTTAAGGTATTGGAAAAACAAATATTATTATAATAACAACAATCTGTTAATTTTTATCCAAAGCCCAATATAATAACTTATTTGTGTTTCAGATAACACAACTCAGATAAACATTTATTGTGTGTGTGTGTGTGTGTGTGTGTGTGTGTGTGTGTGTGTGTGTGTGTGTGTAGGCAAGAAAATTAGTGTATGTGTGTGAGTTTTTGCCTGAAAGGAGGGGGATGAGGTAAATGGGAGGGGATGTCACCTACCTCACTGACAGTATAAATTCCAATTATTTCACTGTGAAATGAACAAAGGCTGATTTTCCCTCTTCATTCAACAAGCAAAGAAAGGCACTGTAAGTACTGCTTTTGGTTTAACATTTTCTATAAAAGGAGCTAAAAAATTTTGGATGTAAAAGTTATTATGTCAAAGGTTTAACAACATGTAATATTTATACTAGTGTGTACTTTTGTGAGTTTTAATACTAAACTAAACATCATTGAAAACAACTATTTTCTCCTTTGACACATCAGTCGAAATGATTTCTGCACATATGATCTGTAATTTACATGATACTTTTACCAGTACTTCATTGTAATATATTGTAGCTAGTATAGTATTTCAACCACATTTGAGAATATATTTATATGGGAAATTAATTCCAATAATAATGACAAAATACTAACACGAGTTAAGAATATTCTGCTTTGGTGAAGGTTATTTCTTATCCAGGTTCATGTCCTTTAGAAATAAGACATTAGCACACACTGATGTTGCATTGATAACTCAACTATTATGAGAGTAATTACTCAAATGAGCTTCTTTTGTAAGGGTGAATCATTATCCGTACTCACCCACTGCACAAAATTACATCTAATCCTGCTGAATTTTTCTTACAAGCTTTTTATATTCACAATAAGATAACTTTAATTTCTCAGTTTTCAGTATTTTCATTAAGATGTTGGTTCAGTGATAAATAAAATGACTATAGCATGTGTTGCTTTTTCTACCAAAATGACAGAGAATTAATACTTTATTCTACCCTGCATGCCATATATGCCTAGAATAAGACAATTGGTACAAAGTGCTAAGCTGAAAAGGTTAATTTAGTTTTTCAATTTTCTTTATTGAACACAAAGCTAAAGATAAAATCAAATGATTCAAATATAAATGTTGATAATATTTGGTACAAAAGAATATTATCAATTATAAACTCATGTTTTGAGTGTCTGTTGAAAAATAGAAAACAGAAAATCACACACAAATCTTGTTAACAAATATGAATCAGCACTTCTAACTGCTCTCCATATTGTTCCAAAGGATTTAATTGGTCTTTTAATGGGGCAGTTCATATCCAAAAGTCCCATAGTGGGTCAAGGTACTCGCCACCATGTCCAGTTCTCAGTTGGTGAAGAAGGGCCACCCAGGTACTCTTCACACCATTTTGAGACCAACAACAGAAGAGAAGGTGCTAGCCACCAAATTCCTCCAGCGATCATTATCTCAGAGGAGGGTTCAAGGTTTGTGTTATCAACTTGTGTCTATTTTTATTTTCCACCCCAGCATAATTTCCTCATCATTCCATTCAGCTGTTTGAAAAAAATGGAACTTGCAAAATAATAATAATAATAATAATAAAAAAGATTTTCAGGAAGGAAGGAAGGAGAAATTATTAGAATCTAATGTCCATTAAAGGAACTAAAGCCTACCATCATAGATATGTTTTCCGCATTTACTAATCTTTGCTATAGTTTCTCAGTTCTCATGTTTTTCCCTCTAACAGTACATCAGAGCAGCGGGACTCAAGAATAGAGCTGCGGAGATCTTCCTTCTATAGCACCATAGACCTGCTGCCACAGCTGGAGCACTATGCCAGCACGCTGCCACACCAGCAGGCAAGGAGCAGACCTTCCCTGGAGGTTCTCCGCAAAGCATTCGATGTGAGTTTTCCACTTCTGGGAGCATTTTCTCATTGCTGCTGTCTTTTAAGAATCACGTATTGACAGTAACACCACCTGGGGGAATTAACCCCACTAGGAAATGAAATGTTTGGCCTCTACAAACAGTGAAATGATTCTCACAGGTCTGAAAAACACAGTAGGCAACGGATATAATTTTACGGTAAAGTTGTTAATGCAAAACCTTATTTATTCATTTATTTTGTGACGATTATTAATGAGAAATAAGCGAAACTTTTAACAAAACTGGACATGCACGTTCAACAGGGCTTTGGACTAAGCCATGCCTCTGAGGCAAGTTAGTAAAGAGTTGCTATAGTGTTTACCAGTCCTGCAGCCAGGGATTGAACATCAACCTTTCCAATTAGCAGATGACCTGCTGGGTCGGCAACCCTGCGTCCAAGGGTGCCCTGGTGTCATGTGCAGTTTTCTACATCCTTATGCTTTAACATCGTGTTCATTATTCCAGTGGAACAATAGATGCCCGAGGTGGGGCACCATCCAACATTCTGCTCAGTAAAAACTGGGCTTTCTGAACTGTTCAGCGTATAATCACAAGCGATGTGATAATACAGTTAAAAAATCAATCATCAACCCTGCAACGTAGGGTGTCCTAATGACATGTGCATGCATGAACACCTTTATGGGTGACATAACAATAACAGCAACAGAACATCACTTGGAGTCAGATCAGGCAATCTGTTCTTCCCAATCATGGCACTTCAGGCCCCCCTTTCATTAACAATGTAAGCATACAAGCCTCCCAGTAGAACAATGGAGTAGAACACCCTTCAGCATCTCACCAGTGAATGCTGAGACTGTCCTTCACCACATAAGCATAAATGACAGCCAGGAGCTATGGAGAAACAACTCCCACTGTCCACTGGGGAAAGCCCCAACTTACAAGCAGCGCACCAGGGTGTACCTACCCCTGCCTGCCGTATATTACTGAGGCAACTACAGATTGGAACAGAGTTCAGCCCCACTCCACCAGAGTGGCACCAGAGTCCAAGATGTACATTGAGGTGAGTCTGAATATGTCTAGCCAGTATCTCTCAACCTCACACGCTACCTCAGACTCTTTACCCATTTAAGAGGCGATGTTCCATGTCCCATGAGCCAGTCTTAATAGGAATCAGAATACCAGGGCCTCTGCCCTCAACTTCTGGTCGATACACAATGTACTATTTTCTATACTATTTTCAGGAAGTGGAGGGAGGAAACACCAACACAGATCCAGGAGCTTGTGAGATTTCGGCCACAGATGCTGGAAGTGAAGAGGCTCAAGGTTCTGAGGAGAAAGCTCCTGCTAGATTTGGCTGGGTTGTTGGAGTTATGGTAAGTAAAACTTCTGGGTCTTTGCATCCACTGGTCCTATAGAACAGCGGTCCCCAACCCCCGGGCCTCGGACCGGTACCGGTCCGTGTGTCGTTTGGTACCGGGCCGCGAGAATTGAGGCTCAGGTGTGAAATGTATGGTTTTCAGGGTTTTATCGGTTTTCAGCGTTATTTTGTTATCGTTTTTATCGTTAACTCGGTTTTCCTTGGTGTTTTCACGTGTGTTACGAATAAATCTTCTGTTTTTTCGGTACCGGTACTAGTTTTATTTTGTTGTATTTATCCGCGACACCTTAGAGGCTGGTCCGTAAAAGTATTGTCGGGCATAAACCGGTCCGTGGCGCAAAAAAGGTTGGGGACCGCTGCGATAGAAAGTTTAAAAATACACAAAATAATTGATCTTGATCACTCTTAAGATCTGTTAATTAAAAACATATTACTTTCATTTTGGTCACAGGTTCGTTGTATGCTTAATATTTGGGGAGTAATCCTGTTCCTCCGCCTGTCCTGGATCACTTCTCAGGCAGGCATTTGTGAGTAATCAGTTCATTTGCTCCTCCATTTGTTCAGTTCTTTTGCTTTTGCTTTCATTTTCTTGTAAAACTTCCCCACGCCTGTTCATATAGTCTTATCTCTGGGTCATGTTGATTTAGTTAGTTTCTTAATCATATCAATATGAGCACATTGTTCGTAGAGCTTTATCATAGGAAAGCGTGAAAGTTTGAAAAGAAGGGAAAAAATGATATCTAAATATTGACAAATGAAGTCAAGTATAGTAACTTCACCAGGAAATGAAAATATGGGATTGGGAGAAATGCTAGTTTCCTTGTTTGAAAAGTGAGCTGTTTTTTAAAGTGCTGACTATGTGTGAGTCTGCTTGTTTTTTTTAGCACACAGTTACTACATTTATTCACTGGGATGAATAAATGTAAGTAAAGTAATTTTTAAATTGCTGAATTTTAAAGGCAGCATAGAGGGTCTATTATATCGCTGAGTATTAAAGTACATATTCTAAAATATATACACTCAGATATGGATTTGCATGTAAGGTAAATTCTTATGCATGGGCAAAGGAAAGTTCTAGAAACAAGTTCCTTTCTGGATGAAGGATGTAAACCTGATTTGTTCATAACTGAAAATTTATGATTGTGTGATTTTAATGAGTCCTAACTTTATTCTTCTTATGTTAGTGTTGACCTGGCTTATTATCCTGATATCTGTGACGGTGACCTCAGTAACTGCCCTCTCCATCTCTGCCATTGCCACTAATGGGAGGGTGATCTCAGGTTAGTCACTGTTCAAAGTAGGAAGTCACACAAATAAACCTTATATACAGTTTGAATCTGAAAATATGAGAATACTTGGGACACCTTTAAAAATGGTTGGGCCTTTTAAGACTGGAAATCTGCAGCTGAGCTCAGAATTGTAATTTTTCAAATTTGTATGTAGGATCTAGCATTGTATTTAGGATATGTTCTAACAATCTTGTTTGTCTGAAATAATCTGCAGGTGGGGCATATTTCATGATCTCCCGCACTCTGGGTCCAGAAATTGGAGGACCAATTGGGGTGGTTTTTTCCTTTGCCAATGCTTTGGCTTGTGCACTCAATACTGTTGGTTTTGCAGAGGTGGCCTGTGATCTAATGCAGGTAAAATGTATTGAAAGTGCTTTGTGGTATTAAATGGATGGTAGATTTGTTTTTGTAATAGAAGATGACATATTATATATAATGTAAATAATATTTCATACTAAAATGCTATGCAACAGAACCTAAATTTGGTTAATTGATGTAGGAGTTTGGTGTTGTCATGGTTGATTCAATCAACGATGTCCGTATTGTGGGCGTGATCACTGTTACGGTTCTTCTGCTGATTTCATTGGCTGGAATGGAGTGGGAGTCTAAGGTGAGCACATTTTGATATTCAACATGACAGTTGTACTTGGACAAAGTTTTGTCTCTTAACAACTTCTCTTCCTTTTTGATTTCTTTATTTGTCTTTTTCTCTCAGACCCAGATTTTGTTCTTCTTAGTTCTTCTGGTTTCATTATCCAACTACTTTGTGGGCACATTTATTCCTCCCAATATAGAAAAGCAGGCACAGGGTATCTTTGGATACCGCAGTAAGTTTAGGTTTCTCTCAACAATCTATAGTCTTAAAAACCACATCGAATAATTGATTTGTTTGTTTCTTCCATCTTTCTTTCCTTCTTTCATAACTACCTAATATTGTACCTGGCATGTTTTCCAGCTGAGATCTTCTTAGAAAACCTGACACCAAACTGGAGAGGAAATGAAGCCAACTTTTTCCAGATGTTTGCCATTTTCTTTCCCTCTGCTATTGGCATCCTGTCTGGTGCCAACATCTCTGGAGACCTTAAAGTATGAGGGACATAAAAGAGAAATGCTCCTTAAAGGAAATATATGAATGCATCGTTTCATAATGTTTTATATTAATTGTATTTCCTATCTCAGGACCCTGCTACTGCTATCCCCAAAGGCACCCTCATGGCTATTTTTTGGACTACTATCAGCTATTTAATGATCTCTGTCACAGTCGGTAAGTTACCCAGTACATATGTATTTGATCTAAATAGGTATAAATAATTTAATTAATACAAGACAGAGGCTGAAGGTGTTTAACCTGGCACTCTATAAGTTATAAAGCTGGGGACTTGTTATCTGAAACAGGTTTCCGGTAATAGCACAAACTGAGATCAATACAGCCTTTTTGGGAGTAAATAAATTTTCATGGTTATCCATGAAAATTATATTAAAATCTGTACTTTTCCTCTAGCATCATGTGTAGTGAGAGACGCTTCTGGAAATATGACTGATATCCTGACCGGAAATCTCACTGATGTTTGTGTGGGGCTTGGATGTAAAATGGGCTGGAACTTCACAGATTGTATACAGCAGAAGAATTGTGAATATGGTCTGGCCAACAATTCAAAGGTACTAGTTCATTCAGTTAGCCACATTTTTTTCTCCTTTTTGTTATTGGGAAGAAAGATACTAAACCAAACAAAAGCACATTTTTGGTTAAATCTTTAACTCTTTGTCAATATTCCTGCTATATTCATTGCATTTAAAACTTTATTCTGGTTTGTCTCATACTTAATGGTGACTCAAACCAGGTCTTGGGCCAGGTTTCTGGTTTCTACTACCTCATCACTGCTGGGGTATTTGCAGGCAGCTTGTCCTCTGCTCTTGGATTTCTTGTCTCTGCCCCTAAAGTCTTTCAGGTGAGAAATTAACTTTTTTCCTATTGCATTCATTATGCATTTATTTGCACTTTTATTGATGAACAAAAGATGAATCCATTATTATAATTTCAATGTACCTAATATTGCTGTATTAGAGACCAGTTTACCTGGACTTTACAAACAAAACAGCTCTCTTTTTGACACAATAATGGGCACATTTTGAATCTGATAATGATTTAGTTATAATTAATGATTTTTAAAGTCACCTACAGTATAAAGAAAACGATTAATAAGGTAAACTAAAGCGGAACAAGCAAACAGCATGATCTCATATAGCTTTAAAATCATCGCTCAAGTGTATTCACATTTTAAAGGAGCAAAAACATGGAGGACACTTAAAAAGTCAGCTATCATCTCATAGCTCAAATGTTTGATTAATGAAAGTTTGTATAAACATAGTAAAGTCTCACTTTTTTGTTTATGTTTTATGTCCTCTCTATCAGTGCCTGTGCAAAGACAACTTATACCCATACATTGGGTTCTTTGCAAAGGGTTATGGGAAAAATGATGAGCCGCTCCGGGCTTATGTGCTATGCTACATCATTGCTGTGGCCTTCATTCTCATTGGTGGGTGTGATCAACATGACTAACACATTTTCACCTCTTACTAATGTTGTGATTCCCATATAAAATGTCTTATCAGCTCTAAATTTGTAGTGTGGTTTTAAATACTCTCTCATCTGTGTCATTACAGCGGAGCTGAACACCATTGCAGCTCTGATCTCCAACTTCTTCCTGTGTTCCTACAGCCTTATAAACTTTAGCTGCTTTCATGCTTCAATCACCAACTCCCCGGGTGAGTAACATATTCAGTAATTAAGCTATACTCAATATTAAACACGTTCACATTAAACCATTAGTTTTGGTATTTTCTAAGGTTTAGTACATTTTGTTCAGTCACACTAATAAGAGAGTTTGCTACTCTATAAAAGCATGTGACAGCCAGATTTTCCACAGTTTAGCATGTGCACAAATGCCCACATACACAACCACCACTCACCAGTTTATTGCTGCTTGGCCCCAAAATTAAACAGTCCCCCATTATGAGGTCGGAAGAAAAAACAAATTGTTTATATGCAGCTTAGTGTGGAAAAGAGATCATCAATCTGACTTCAGTGGAAACTCATATTGCTCCTACAACCAGTGATGGTAAGACAAGGTTTTATGTAACACTCAAATCAATTCTACCAAAATTGTATCTATCATACCAAGTTATATTGGAGAAATCTCCGTACACAGAGGTCCACATAGATCTAACCCGCTGTGAGATTAAGTGCATGACAGTTCTCTAGTTAAAGTTTTGGCAAGAGAGTCAATGTGTTTCTATTTTGACAAAATCAACTACGTACAATTCAAAGCTCTATAACATTTAACAGCAGGTTGCTGGTAATGCCTAAAAAACAAACACAAGAAATCATACATAATGTAAATGTAGGCCATAATGGGTGGACATTGGGATCAGAGTTCTGTCCATGTAGCATTACAAAGTCTGCCCTGTGCCACTTCATAATCCTTTTCTCACCGACTCCTCCTGTAGGTTGGAGGCCCTCATTTCACTACTACAGTAAATGGACGGCTCTGTTTGGCGCAGTGATATCTGTGGTTCTGATGTTCCTGTTTACCTGGTGGGCTGCTCTAATCACCTTCTGTATAATCTTCTTTTTGTTTGGATACATCAACTACAATAAACCAAGTGAGTCAAAAACCATAAGTTTTTGAGCGTAAGTTGGAACTGAGCAGTACTTTGGTTAGAATAACATGCCTCAGATTCATAAATAGAACAGAATGCATCAACGTGTACTTTACACTTCTTTTTTTGTTTTTTGCATTTCTCATGTAAGTGTCTTTTGAAATCAACAGAGGTAAATTGGGGTTCGTCAGTCCAGGCAGGCACATACAACATGGCTTTGTCATACTCTGTCTCACTTACTGGTGTGGAGGATCACGTCAAGAATTTTAGGTGAGTGATCTAAAATTTCAGTTTAACAAGTCAAAGCTTTTCATGAAACATGCACGAGTGCTAAAGTCTATAAGTGTACTCGTTAATGCTCTTTTCTAACAGTATAAATAGATTTTAGTTTCGAATTTATATTTACTGGATTTCATCCAGGAGCTTCCTCTTTGATCCCTAATGTCTTTTTTTTAGACCACAGTGTCTAGTCCTCACTGGACCTCCAAACCAGCGACCTGCACTGGTGGATTTTGTTGGCTCATTCACAAAACATATAAGTCTTATGATCTGTGGCGATATTATCATGGTGAGACATCCGCTCAGCTTTTTCTACAAGAAAACAAAATAAATTATTAGCATCATTGTGGCAAAATAGCCACACCAAACACTTTTTATAGTTATCCTTTGTTGTAATTGGATATGTGAGTTCCTGAGTTCCTTTTCCAGGAGCCTGAGAGGCAGACACGACCACAAGATGCTACAGATCAGCTAGTTAAATGGATGAACAAGAGGAAAGTGCGTTCGTTTTATACTCCATTTACAGCTGAGAGCCTCAGAACTGGAGCTCGATACTTAATGCAGGTATCTAGTTAATATTGTTGTGGTGTAATGTGACTTTAAATGCCCCGAAAGTTACCAACAAATTATTAATATTACTATTAGTATGTTTCTGCCATTAGAACTAGTTTGTATTCTTACCTGTAGGATGGCTTTTATGCTTTTTGTTCAAAGGCTTCTGGTCTTGGCAAGCTGAAGCCCAACACTCTGGTCCTTGGCTTCAAGTCAAACTGGAGGGAGAGTTCACCTGAAAGCATTGAAGATTACATTAACACCATATAGTAAGATGGTCCTTTAATGGTGCATTTAATAGATATGAAAAAAATCATGTATTTTATAGTATTGCTATTTTATTTATTTTATATTATGTGTGTATTTTTACTGTCTTTGTAAGGCAGTGTAAAAAAATAGTATTTATAAAATAGCCTAAAGAATAGTTGCAAAAGAACAAAGTCTTCTCAACTTACTCATCTTCTCTTGCTTTTCTTCAGTGATACATTTGACGCCAACTTCTGTTTGTGTATCTTGAGGATGATGGACGGGCTGGACATCTCTGACCAGTTTGATTGTGAAGGTCTGATGAGTATAAATAAGTAGAACATTCTCTAAGTGCTTAACAGCAACATGATACATTTGTGGCAGCGGTTGACAACATATTTTTCTTTTTTTTTTTTTTTAGTAAACCAGGGCTTTGAGCTTGATGAATCTGCTGAAAATTATGACCATCAGTCTACAGACAGGGAATCGGGTAAGAGCTACTTGTGTGCATAGGTACATATTAGATTACTGTACCAAGTCACGTTAAATTTCAAGTCAGAATCTGTAAATCATAACTACTGTGAACTAAAGTACGGGAAGGGATTTTTCTTAGAACTGAAAAGGATATCGGATTTAAATAAGATTTCCACTCTGTAATTTCAAAATCTAATAAAGTGAGTGGTCTATTTATGATTACATTTCTTAAAGTTCAAGATTAAAGTTTTAAATTGATTTAATTTGACTAAAGTACCTCTAATGGATTGTTCCCTTCCTAAATTAATATGCACTGCAATGGTGCTTAGGATAATATGTGAGAGGATGAGGACAGTGAACAAGAAATCATGATTGCACTGGCACACCTTAGATTGCATTATAACTTTCTAATTATTAAGTCAGTAATCACTGCCCACACATAACACACGCTTTCTCTTGTGTTTGCAGCTGATGACGTGTCCGACAACAGCAACAGTGATCAAATCAAAACAGTGTTTCAGAACACCCAGGGGAAAAAGTCTATCGATGTCTACTGGATAGCAGATGATGGAGGTGAGCCCACAGAAGTGCTTTTCTTTCTTTTTTTCCCCCCCGTCCTGCCCGGCAGTGTAGCAATAAATAAACAAACAAACAACGGGAAAAAAAGTTAGAGGAGCCTCTTCGGTTTATTCTTCTAATAAATAAACAAAAAAATAAATAAATTTGAGTTGGCCTGGTTTTCTTAGCTGCTGTCATGTTCTTCTTCTATTTTCAGGACTGACTTTACTGGTACCTTACCTGATCACCAGGAGAAAGCATTGGCGTAACTGTAAGATCAGGGTTTTCATCGTCGGAGATGAACAAAACATGGACGAAGGTCGTAATGAGTAGGTTTACTCTGTTTCGCCCGGGGGGAAAGTGTTGGCTTTTGCATTGGCAAAATTTGTGGTTATCAAGATGAATTCAGAATTACTCTTTTCCTCTAAGAACTGAAAATGTTCAGTTTGAAGATTTTACAATAGACAACAAATTTGGAATTATTTATTTATTTATTTATTGTTTTTTCAAAAAAAAAAAATTAAATGTAGGTTTTCATGCAGTTTGATATGTCTTTGTTTGGATGTAATTCTTTCAGACCCTTTGGTGTTTATGGACATACTAGGAAAGGGTGCTTTATGATTTCTGGAACTTGAGAACTTGTGGACTGTTGTGTGTTTCAGAATGATGGCTCTGCTGAAGCGCTTTCGTCTACATTTCAGTGACGTTATTGTCATGACAGACAGTGAGAAGCGCCCTCAAGCCAAGAAGTATGTCGGAAAAAAGTTGCAATTACCACCACAAGGCACACCTATGTGAATGTGTTTTTTTCTTCATAGCAGTTGTGTTTTGCTTTGCAGCATGACTAGGTTTGTGGACAGTGTCGCCCCCTTCAGGCTGCATGATGAACAGCAGACAGGCGTCACAGATCAGGAGCTAAGACAGAGAGAACCATGGAAAATATCTGATAAAGAGTTTGAGGCCTTCAAACAAAAGGTGTGTGTGTGTGTGTGTGTGTGTGTGCGTGTGTGCGTGCGTGCATGCGCGTGAGTGCGTGAGTGTGTGTGTGTGAGTGTATCATTGACTTCCAAAAGGTCCAGAGCAAAACACTTTAAATATATCTATGCCTCATGATTGTGTAATATCCCCACATTATGTGACACTAAGTCAGTTTCCTACTTGTATTTCCTTTATTTACAGTCTGAGAGAAAAGTACGGCTTAATGAAATCATCCGCAGGAATTCACAACATACTGCCCTTGTGCTTGTGTGAGTACACGGTTTATATCGCAATACATATTTAATAGAAATCAAATTTAGTTAGGATCTCCCATTTCCCTCATAGTCCCCATATTTATATGTACACAATTTACTAAAATCATCATGCGTTAGGATTTAACTAATACTGCACTGAAAATATAAATCTATTACTATCCTGCTACCCATCATGTAGCAGACTTTGTTCTTGTTTTACTGTCCCTGCTTATGTAATTGTTATTTAATGATTTTTTTTCTTCCCCACGTAGGAGTCTTCCTGTGCCACACAGTGACTGCCCCAGTGCTCTTTACATGGCCTGGCTGGATACTCTCACCTGTGGCCTTCATTGCCCTGCAGTGCTCATACGAGGAAACCAGCAAAATGTCCTTACTTTCTACTGCCAGTAAATTGTATTTTATTGTGAGTCAGTCATGGAGGACTATTTTTATTTTTAGGAGTCACAAAACTAAAAAATTCAAGCCTTAGAAGTGAACAATAATTAAAAAAAAAAAAAAAAAACAAGACAGAGAGAGTGCAATATTTGCCAAATTAGGGTTTAACAAATCTGGTGAATAATAAGGAGACAAATTAAAATTAAGATAGACACATGTTACATGAATGATTCTGAGAAGGTCATTGTAAGTACTCTCCCCTTATACAAGTGAATATCACCGTATCTCAACCCAAGCAAGAACATTTTGGAAGCCACCACTTTTATCAAACTGCTAAAGGAGGTGACATCTTTTGGAAAAATTATGTCCATCCTATCAGGAGAGTCCCAAAGGCTTGGAACATCAATGTGAATTAAAGGTCTTCTGGTAACAAAGAAATGAATCCAAGATCTTGATAATGTTTAACTGAACATATATTTGAAACAAAACTGTCTTGTTTTAGCAAGCTAGTTACTAAGTCATTTGTGAAAAATGTAGTATGAAGTATAAAACAACTGCTGACAATTTTAGTGAGTAACAAGAGAAAGTAGCATCCAGTGCTAATGTAAATTAAACAGAGAAGAATATTAGACTTAGTGGACTCCTTTACAGTCCACCACTGATGGGTAGGGAAACTTTTTGCTCTTTATGGTTAAACTTGTACTACATAACCACCAACTTTGTTGTTAACACACGATAATGTAACCATGTTTGAAAACTGAGACACAAATTGTTGATTTGAAAGTTATTAATTTAAGTAAATGTAAATTAGTAATACATTTAGACTTTACATTGTATTCACTATATTTGTCAATATCTTTTACATTTATATTTGTTTGCTTAATCTGTGATGTGTTTTGTAGAATATTAAATTATGTATAAACTCTTCTAAGATGAGTTATTCTGTTGATATTTTCCAAAGGTAAAAGTTTAAAACCTCTGAGTTGTACTATTTAAATGCTGACAAGCAACAGCAGGAATATAATACTGTAAAAGATTAATATTCTGTTATAAAATCTGCTGTTCCTCAAATCGCTACTTGACATTTTCCCAAAAAGCAAGTCACCCTCTAATTTTACACCCATTGTAATATTGAATATCAGTAACTATAAAAATAGGCTGCAGTAAGTACAGTTAACCTTTTACATTACTTCTATCAATACTCAGTCTGCCTCACCTTACAGCTATATGCAGCATGTGCAACATTATGTGGAATAAACACTGGGGGCATTTGTTATTATTTTTGGCACTAAGCAACATTACTAAAGTCTGGATTAATCTGCAGACGGGTTATAATGACATGGAGATGCATCACCAACAGATTAACTATAAGTAGATAAAAATTACGCAAAAAACTTGTAAGTAGACATACTGTAAAAGACCAGTATGTAGAGTAAAGTGCATTGCAGCAAAGCTATTAGTATGAAATGCTATATAATAATTTAAATGTCACTTAGTCACATTATCAGCTTTAATAGTGTTAAAGATTTTTAAAGGCATCCTTCATTGACAACATTGTGTCTCTTTGACTTCACACAATGAATAACAGATTTTTAATAACAATAAGTTACAGAGTGATAACCATGGTGATAACCATATCAGACCATTGATACTGTTAAATACAGCGATAACTGTAGGAGTTTTCAGCCTCTTTGATCAGGGGGGATTGATCTCCCTGATAACTGTGATGTAGTTTAAAACAAATTTTGATTAATTAAAAAATAAAATATTTTAAAATTCTTTTTTTCCCTGTGACATATGCTTATCTATGATATATATGTCTGCTTCATCCGAATCATGAGATTATTGATTCTTACAGCAAAAATTTGAGCAATGCAACAGTCTAATTGAACACCTATGTTCTGTAGAAGGTACTGGGAATAACTAAAGCAGATTTAAATGTAACACTTTGAACCAGAAAAAAAGAAGTTAATGCTTAAAGTTTTATTGCTAATTAACCATTTTTTCTTTTACTTTTAACCATAAATTAAAACAATATCCCCGCCCTTTGTGTAGGTGCATGTTCAAAGGTGTCTTGTATACTAAAAGATCCGTGTTTTTTCCTTCTTACAATGGACCAATACGTAATATTTATCTTATAGTTTGCTTTGGTTCCCAAGAGCTCCCTCGTCATGATGTGAAGAACTCTTTAATAGGTTAACTATAATTAAACAGTACATTTATCACAATCCTGTGTGGGTGCTGGCTGCAAAATGCAACTGATACAGAAGAAATTCCTGGTATTTTGGCATGCTGCATTTCAAATACTGGGATGTACCAAGTCTTTTTTTTCTGGCACATTAAACACAAGATGCCTCACTGTATTATGCTAATGGTAGCTAAACATTTCAAAGATGCAGTGAGTCAACATCAGTTTCCATCTCACTTGAAAAACTGAAGACAAACAGCAACACCGGCCATTAAATGTGCAATATGTGGGGGCAACATCCTAACATGACCTCTTGCTGAGGTCACCTTCTTTAAACAATGTGCTAAGGCTATTTATGATGTGCACAAACCTGACATTGTTAACTAATTAACTAAATGGCAGAACATTATTAACAGCTTAAATTACTGGTTAATCTATGGATCAAAATTTCAGTTTTTGTTTTTTCACATTTTATAATAACATCAATATGTTAATATATCTATATTTATAGGTATATAATACATAAATAATACTATTTCGCTGTAGGCTTAGTTAAATTCAATGAACAAACAATTTGTAAATAGATTTTTTTTAAACTAAGCCAATAAAGTTGGCACAATGGTGCACTGTTTGGCATCATTGCATTAAAGGGTCCCCAGATTTGACTATAACTCAGCTGGTCCCCTTTCACCTGGAATTTGTATTTTGTACAATAACTGTGCTGCATGGGTTTCTCCCAGAATTAGTGCTGTGAGTACAAGAAAATAATTATTATAATATGATGTGTTAAATTTGTTTAGATCAGAGGAATAAGGAAGGATTTGTCTGTGTGTTTTAGTTTGGCTTAGTTGTGGCCTGAGAGTGTGTGCAATTGTTTAGAGAGAAAGGAATTTATGGACACTGGGGGTCTGCCTGCCATAAAAGGAGACGGGAAGCTACAGTTGGGGATTGCTGATGCTGATGCTTGTACCTTCAATAAAAACTCATAATTGTTATAACTTAGAAGCAGGTTTGCAGGAGACTCTCCACATGCTTATCTGTAAATGTAAGATGATAAGAGGCCAATGGCCCAGTGGATGCAGAGTGGGGCTCTCAGTGTTTGTACTATATTAACTCTGTTTTGTATGTTGTGTAGAGGAATTTGGTGTAGCTTGGGTGAGGAGATTACTTTTATGACCCCCAGGAAGTCACGTATACAGAGACACACATACACAGTGCTTTGACTGTTACGACGCACCCACACCTACATGCACACTCACTCACGTGCTCGTGCATACACAGACAGACACAGAGTTTGCAGCACACCATGGGGGTTTTATGATGGGGTCGCTTCTATAAAGCTGACTGTAACAAACAAAGGAGGGAAGATCTGCAGAGGGGCCGGCCTTGCACATCTCCCCTTAAGATGCATGCTTAAATGAAGATGAATAAAGGTTTTGTGAAATGACTACTGAGTCCGGTGCCGTCTCTGGATGCCTCGGGGAATAAAAAAGAACCGGGGTGAAACTAATTTTGTAACACTGCCTAATTATAAAGTCAGCAGATATTTACATGAAGTTTTAAATTGACGCTGACAATTACAGGTGTAAAAACATTGATTATGCGCCCCAAAAATGCTATAGCATATTTATTGAACTTGTAGGTAATTATATTTTATTTTTGTTTATATCATCAATGCAAACGTAAAACAGTTACTAAATGAGCTTGTGAAATGAAAGTAAATTGGTATCTTTAATGGGGGGGGGTTTTCTCAGAAAAAAATCGAAATCGTTCAATGCATCTATTTAAAACACGTGTCAAACTCAAGTCATTTTACGTGGCCAACAAAAGTTGTGCATGATTTAATTAAAACGAGTTTACTGTATGCTGCTGAAATCTGCACGCTGACTGTAAACTATTTTTTTTGTTTAAACCTCAATGTACCAGGGATGAGAGTGATGTACTGCCAGATCTGTTATTTAAATATTGACATGTGTGGTATCCACAGAAACTTCACAATCTCTGCTAAAAGCTAATAAAACCATTTCAGTGACCATCTCACAGATTCTGAAACTCCAGATTTTTAACCAAAATTCACTGAACCAGCAGCAAAAGAAGGCAACTACACTTCACGGTTGACAAACATTGTTATGACTGCCCACATACTGCCTGTCTCGCTTCTACCACGATAAAATCCTTCCTTCACAGCTTTATCTCTCATTATGCTTCCAGACTAGTTTCCCAACAAAAATATCTATTTTCTGCCTTATTTGCTTGCCTATTAATTTCTGCTTTACAGTACCAAAGAAATTTTGAATAATTACGCCAAATTGCAAAACACTTAGTTACAGAGTGTTTTTTTTTCTATTTTAAACACAAAGTTACAGAGGTTTTATTAGAATAATAAAACCTCTGTAACTTTGTGCAAAACAGAAAAGTTTATGTTTTTCACTTCCTACTAGAAATCTTTTTGGGGTTTTTTAAACTGGACAGTCTGTAAAAAGAGTTACTAGAAGTTGTTTTGTAATTTATTTATCACAATTTGAGTCCAAAGAGTCCTGCAGACAGATTTCTTTCTTTGTCACAGCAACTTTTTCTTTAACATGTAGAAAAACAGTTAAATATGTGACTTCTTTACACTGATGGAAAATTGAGTTTTACTCGTCGCTTAAGATCAAAGTGGGCTGTATGTGGCCCGCACTCCTGATCTAGAATCTAGATAGATAGATACAAATAATAACACTACGCAAGTCTCTCAGGTTTAGCAGGTTTAACATGATTGTTAGTGCTTAATTCCTACATTATTACAGTAATAATATGATAATAGCAGTGTATTATCCTTTTATCA